AATATTCGTATGCTAACGAAATATATTTACAAATTACAATATGTAAATATTGAGTTGCATGTTTCTTAATGTTTTGTTTAGATATTTGTATTAAATCTGTATAACGTTAATATTGTTCTTGATCAAATTCCAATGTCTTGGTAAATAATTAAAAATAATTGTTGTATTGCATATCGTGTTAAAATATTGACTTCGAATTTTTCTTAACTTTTATATTACGTTAATGATTAGTAAATCATTAACGTAATATAAAAGTTAAGCAAGATTGAATAAGAGGGAATATAAACAAGACAGTAGATATTATATTTTTTATAGTTAAAGATCATTAAATTATTATTAAACCAATAATAATAGTAAACATTAAAAAAAAAAAAATGTTATTCATTTTTATTTTATTTTTAATACCGTTTTATATTAGTTAGTCATATAAACTACCGTGATTTTGATTTTTTAAAGTGTCGCTTTCTTGCTTGATAGTGGAATTTTATAAAACCTTGACTATTATTCTTAGATAAACATTATATACGGCCTCATGTCCATGGTTTTAACTAAATTAATTTTTAGACGGTGTTAATGTAAAGAAAAATATAGGAGTATATTAAATATTCTAGTGAATGAAATTCAACGATTTTTAATTATTTTAAACACGGGTTTTGGTTATATATAAATAGTTAAAATTTTTATAAATAAAGACTTAAAAAGTGAAGTACCTAATTTTAAGATTTTTTTTTAAAATAAAAATTACAAATTCCCCTTAGAATTTTATATGCTTATTTATTCTTTTAATACACCTTCTTCCCAATCTTGAATTTTTCAGTTTATTTATTCACCTGAGTTATCTTTGTTTGCTCATCTGCAATTAATTATTGTTTGAAATGTCTAAGTTGTTTTTGACAAACTTCTTAGGAAATAATTATATCTGCATTAAAATTGTAATTAATAATGCAATTATTTGTTTAGAAATTAATTTAAATGTCTTACGTATAAATATTTACTGCATGTCTACATTTATGATATTAGATTTTACGATAGTGTTTTATAACTTGATTCGTCATAATTAAATAATTGGTCGAACATACCCATACCAAACAGACTATATACAGGTATTTTTCAATTTTTGTTCGTGCTTAAACGGCTACTGTTAATCATATTATTCGTCCATGAGGCTGTTGATATTTTTAGTTTTTATTATCGCTACTGCGTATATAACTGCAGTGTCTAAGTAAATTTTTAATTTACATCATAAGTACATTGATTAACAAAAGCATGAAATCTCGAAAAAGTATTTTTGTGCCGTCGCCGTGTCATTGCGTTAAATTTAAACTTTTAAACGTGGGCACAACTAAAATGCGCCATTCAGTAGTTTACATTGGTATAAAAAATAAAACATTTTTATTATTTGCATTGCGTTTTACGTAATAATCGTTTGAAATTGCCCTGATCAAATATAATTTGATCAGTCACCCACGCGCAATGATGTCGGAGGTTACTACAACTGTTTTTCAAAAATGTCCTAATCAATTGAAACAATTTGCGTTCCCGTTGTGAACTGTAGGTATATAGCTGAAGAATTGTATTTAGTTTTATTATTTGATTGTATTAGACCCGCGTACAGTGTGAAAAATTACTCAAAGAAAGGAAAAACTACCATACACTTCATACGGTTATAAATTGTTGAAAATAATTTTAAAAAAACGTGTTCAATTATGTTTTTTTTATTTGGTATAAGAATAAAATAAAAACAAAAAAAAGACATTTTTAAAAGTTAAGCTAAATATTATTATGCCTAACGGTGTAGTAAGATGGACATAATCCAATAACGTACAAATAACTGACCGAAGCATAATATTGAAAATCGCTTTAGATTTTTCGAGTGTATGTAATGCTAAAAGCTGAAATATTTGCAAACGATAATATAGGCAAAACATTTAAATTTTCTTTTATACTTTAAAAAAAGTACTCGAAGTAAATAATAAAAAAAAAAAAAAAAACATAAATTAAAGCTCTAAGCTCAAATAAATTTTAGAAGACGAGAAGTGAGGTATGTTGAATTATTCATACACTAACCATTAATTCTATTTTTACAGTTCGATATTATTTATTTTCAAATTATTCATAATCTATTTTTCAAATGGTAAATATAATTTGTATGTATAGTTATTATGATTCAATTTTTAATATGAAAAGTTATTTTTTTAACTTTTTTAATTCTTTTATTTTATTAGTTTAAAGTTTTCCTAACATTTGTCATCTAAACTTAGGTGTAAAGAATTAAATTTTTTAACATTTTTGGATCACAATGGTATAAGAAGTTAGAACTATGGATCTAAAATGTACTGAATATAGTAATTAATTTTTTTATTACGAAACATTTAAGAGTTAAACAAAATAATGCACAAAATAAATATATAAATAATATACAATAGTTGTATTGTAATACTAATAAGTGATTTAAGACGTCGTGAGGACGGCTGCGTAAGAATCTAAGACGGGTATTCAGCCTTAAGTGCCATGGAAATATTATGCGATAATTTTAGTTTTTATTATACTTGTTTTAATATGTGGAAAGTTGAAATAGCAAACACATACTATAGATCCTCGGTACTATGATATAAACCATACTTGTTTATATTTTATTTCATAGATTTTATTTGAAAATAAAATAGAAAAAAATGCTCATGAAATTCTAGTCTAGAATGCTATAATGGAGCACTTCAGACGTGATAAGTAATTATTTCGTCTACATTGTATTCTATTATACAATCGTTTTGGTAATAATATCAAAAAATAAACGTTGTGATTTGTTTTATAATGTTTTCTAAAAACACTTAATAATAGTCAGTAAAATGTTATTCTCAGGTTTAAAATGAAATAATATATGTGCTTAATCACGTCTATATTATATTGACAAAACAGCAGTTGATTTTGTGCAGTATTGGTTTGGTTGGTGTATAAATACATTGTTATTTTTTCGGTTTCAGTTTAGTAATTAAAAATGTATCGACCTTTAGTACGGTAAATAATAAATATTTACATTCTCACGTGGGCGTCCCACGTGGTCCTTACAAGACAACACAAATCACGTACGCTGGGACATTATTATTGTTACACAGATAGTAGTGACAATTGTGTTTTGTTATATACGAGTAGATTAAAAACCTATATAAATATATTGGATGATAGCCATTTAAATTTATATTTAAGCTAGTTGATATAGAAGTATTTATTACAATCGTGATTTTTATGTACTATGACGACCTTTTTAAACTTTTGATTATCCGAAACACGATAATAGTTAGTTACATAATATTAATGTCACTAAAATTATAATATTGTTGAGTTAAATGATGTATTATATCGATTGTTGCAGCGAACAAAATATTATTACAATTATAGTTTATGTTCTTTATATTTTTTCACTCCTTAATTTTTTTTTTTTCATATGGCTTTATGAGCAACAACCAATAGACTCCTCAATATAGATATGCAATAAAAGTATAATACGAACTCATGAATAGTTGACCGTTTGACGAGACGTTAGAATAAGAGCCATTTTAGAGTTTTATTAAGGTGGTGTTATTTTTGATCCTGGTTGAGTTGGTGGAGCGTGTGCGTGTGCGTGGAAAGGGTCTTATACGAATTGCGGGGGTGGGTATACCTGCCAAATTTATTTGATTTAGCCTGTATTTACTTCGTAAAATATAGTGAACACATATTAAAGATAATACAAATCAATACATATAAAAATAATCTTATACTTAATGTACAATATAAAATAGATATACAGTAAAATTAAATTACTAAATGTTTTAAATTGCTTAAATAGTAAAGATGATGATAATAATTATAAAAATAATAATACTATTAATAGCATAGTTAATAAAGATAAAAGTTGGATCCCATGAATATAATTTATTTCATATTAACTACATTATATTTAAAATGTATATTAACATTATTTATTGGCTTACTTTTAATACTATTTTATGTGAATAGTTGATCACTAAAGTACATAGATCAGCAATAGAAAAATATATTAGATTAAAAATTCGCCTAAATTTTTGGAAATCGCGTAGTTTGCGACTAACGTACGTGTGTTATCGTATCCTGTTGGTGTGTAAAGCAACAGAACGCATTACGATAATTTATCGCGTAAAATTCTCTAATTCTATAATTGTAACATTATTTAATAGCGTTGTCAAATAATCGTAGTATCAGAGATAAAAATATTCGAAAAAATAAAACAAAAATTCAGCCATTTTAATCGTACCACTGGTAGGTGGTCCGTGGGGGTAGAAATAATAATTATCATACTCGTATGCACGCATTATCGTGGTTCGGGAAAATGTCCTTGGTGACAACCTGCAGGCACAAGCTATAACAGCAATTTTTGTCTTTTAACTTGTTTGAATTATTATGCTGCTTCAGGAGTATTTTCTTAGATAAATACGATACTGACCCGAAGGTGCAAACCCAAATTAAAATTAGACAAGGGACTTTAAAAATCCAAATCATTTAATTCATAATATATTATTACAAACTGAAACTCCTTAGAGTTCAAATTTTTCTAGAGAAATCATTGATAAAAATGTTTATTCAATTTTTATGTTTTTATATTTATTATATTTTGTTTATAACTATGTTTATTTTATAAAATGTTTAAAGTTTAAATGTTTAAGTCATAAATCTCGAAATAGGCATATATCTTACTTCTAATCTATTCGAGTAGATAATGCATATCTATTTTATTCGATTATCTAATAGTTATTTTTAACTTGTATAAAAAAAATTGTTTTAAATTGATTAGATAATTAAATTATTAATCGACGTAAAAATAAAATAAAATATTTTAAAAATTGTATTCTATGTTTACTCAAAGAACATAAAAATCACTGTAGCAGAATACCGACAGCTTTTAATTGATTTTGAAAGTTTTTAAAAGAGTTGTGTGTATTGTGCTATTACCTGTATAATATAATATGTAAAAAGTGTGATCAAACCTCTGAAAAGCACAGCAGACACTACTACAGCAGTTAACTCGTTAAAAAACTGAAAAAACCCTCTTCCTCCGAGAGATTAAATGCCTTTGTCGCCGATTCTCCAAACACCGCCACTACTGCCATTTGTCACTATTATTATTACGACGAACTTATAAACGAAACCGCTAGTGCACTCTCACATGTCGATCATTTTTACTACTGTTCGCTTGGCGAAGGAAATGGAATATTGTTCACAATATGTGTGTTGTAAACGGTGTGTGCGTGCGTGCGTGCGTGCGTGAGTGTGTGTGTGTGTGTGTGTGTGTGTGTTGTAATGATTTTGTTCGACTGTCGCAATCGCATCCGAAACGACAATTAATATAGTATATTAATAATTTGACTTATTATAATTTGTGTCTGTGTGTGAGTGTACATAAAATTGCCCAAATAAAACATTTACGGTCACTGTAATTGCTGTGTGGCTACGCACGTTGCTCGTGATTAGAGTCAGTTTTAAATCCTTAATCGGTCGGCTTCGCACCAATTAAACAATTAATATACTGCGTATAAATAATTTGTACGATTTTTTTACAGGCCTGTCTTGAATGCCGTCGTCAGAGACGGCACACTGGTCCAGCAGCAGCAGCAACAGCAGCTAGTAGAGCCACGTGGTAAGGAGGATAGGTGTACGCAAGACCGCGAATACGGACGTTCGTAGTAACGGAGACGCACGTTTCAAGGATAAATAGTAATCCACCCAAACCGCAACCATGGTAAGTCATTTATCTTCGTATTGTTAGTGTTTTTTTTGATCGCCCACGCAATATCCTATATCCAATACCCTCAGTCGAAACGCACTGCCGCGAGTTTCACAGCTAACATTCCATGGCGTTTATTACTCCAGCGGTTTTTTCAAGCACATGGGCACAACTCATTTTTTATTTTTTGTTTTCGCCAAGACTGGAGTTGTCCTTATTTTCAAATAATTGGAAAACCGTGTATATAAACTGTGTGTAAGAAGCTTTTTTATATACAGCATATCTACATCGTGTGGGTACGCTGTATACACCTTTGAGCTATACCTATTAAGTACATTTTTTTTTTCATACGAGAAGCGATATTATATAATAATGTCATAAAAATATAGTAGTATATTTTTATAATGTTCTATCAGAGGATAGAAAAAAAAAATCTAGGTTATTTAAAATTCAACATTCAAATTTTTACGTTTAAATTTACAATCATTTTCATTTATATTTAAAAAAAAAAGTTATTTACTGATAATTTATTATGATTAGGGTTCAATGATTTTTATTATTTTTCCGTTTACTGACAATTGCACCTATTGACTATTAGAAACCTTTCTAGAAACTGTAACACAACTGCAATTATTATTTATTATTATACTACGGTGTATTTTTTATATTGCTGTAATGCACGACGTAATTCGAACGTTAAATAAGTCACTGTTTTGTTTAATTAATTTTGTCTTACATATATGAGGTTAATGGTATATCGTGAGCAGGGCCGTCCCGAAGGGGGGTTTTGGGGGTGGCTCCTCACCCTGCCCCTCACCCCACCAACGAGAACACCAGTCGGCAGTCGGACTTGTTTCATTATAGCCTAGAAGGACCTAATTTTATTTACGGAAAACAAATATTACATATTTCGTAATACAGTGTATACATGAATAAAATTTATATAACTACTTATTATATACGTATAATTAAATTGTCAATTTTAAGAACGTGCGACACTGACACATATATATATATGTTACGGATAAAGTCCGAAACATGGTTAAAGTGCACATTATCCGGATATTGTGCACTCTAGCCACACTGGTTGGCTAAAGTAACTTTAGTCATCGTGTTATGGTATATAAGTTAAAAATTAAATATTAATTAACTACATTTGATACAATATTCAATTTATTTTTATCAGATATTATTAATACTATTTATTAGATAATGTTTTTTTATTATTATTTATTTAAACACGGTAAACTTTGATAACATTTTTAATTGCATAAGAACACCCGATGCTTTGCATTTGCAATTATTTGTTTTACAATTTGATTTACACGCTCAACGTTGAGTTTATTATTATTTGATTGTTAACTTATACCATTGATTATATATTACAATATTTTATATTATATTATCAATGCTTATATTAATTAATTCTATTGACATAAAATATAAATATGAATTTATTAATAATATTTTACATTAGCCATAACATGATGATTAAAGTTACTTTAGCCGGGTAATGTGTACAAGCTATGATTTTAAATGTTAATTGTAACATATACATATTAAAAAGTAAAAATACGACTACATATAGTTAATTATACTACATACATCGAGTAAAAAAAAATGTAGTCGGTATTTTTCATATTATTCACCCCCCCTCCCTTGATTTTCATCTTCGGGATGGCCCTGGTCGTGAATATAACAATTATTGAATACTAATTATTGTCTTTTTATCATTTAGTGTTGAGGTTATCGTGAATATACTCGTTATTTTATAACTTAAAATATTTTATTCTGTTCTATCGATAATCAATTTAATTCAACGTATATTAATTACTTGTAATTGTGAAGCAATTAATTGTTTTTATCGTTTCTTGACCTTTGTTAATGGATATTTCATTAATATTAATATTCAATTGTGTTTTAGCTAATTCTTCAAACGTTCCAGGTTTGAGTTTACGTGTATTAACGGAAATAGTAATTGTTATAAAGTTAATATTGATAAATTCATACTATTATAAAACTTACATCTAATTACAAATGACATAAAACGTTTAATGTAATCTACCATCTATGGTAAAATAGTTGGCAATCAAATTACGCTCACAATTTAAGGTACGTGATAATTGAATTAAAGTGTTTTGATAAGAAAATATAAATCTCAGAAAAATTAGTAAATTTTTTAACTATAAAATAATAAATTTACAAGTGGAAATTACATATAAAACAAAGTACCGTACTTTATCTTAATAACTCTACAGAGATACAATTATGATAATTTGCAAATTGACCCAATGGTCAAATTATTATAATACCATATAAATACTTGATAGCTGATACTTTTGTACATGAATTTTATATTTATATTTATATTAAGAAAATAATGCACACTATTTAAGTATTTAATGATTTTTGAATATTTGTTGAGGAGTCTCTCAATCACTTAATTCATTCCCAACCTTATCTACTGTTATGTTTTAAAACAACAGTCCACTATTTTATTCATCTTAGATTTTTATTCATTATTCCACTGCTTTTTAGGTTATAATTATATTCATTGTAATATTATGAATGTACAATATACTATTTTTTCAATTCATTTTGACAAGAATTTATTTGTATGTTGTACGGGGTCTGTAAATTATTATTACCTACGCGCACCAAAAATATCAAAATACTTCATGTTAACAATTATGTGCGTGTGTGCGATTATGTTAATTAGATAAAATTAGGAATAAAATAATGATAAAAAAATAAATAAAAATACGTTTAGAACAATACAATTTAAAATAATAAACAAAAAAAAGTCACAGTAATTCAGATGCATGCGCTATAAATATAACACTTGCCATTTTGGCTTAACAAAATATAAATCATAGTTTAATTGTGTAAAATAAATACTAAGAAATAAAACTGTGAGTATTGAAATTAAGTGAATATGTATAAACATATTTAAATGAAATGTTTAAACAACAAAAATTATTAGAACATAATAATTATGTTCTAATAAAATCATAATTGTATAGAAACTCACAAAGTTATTGGGCGGCGATTGACTGAGAAAATTAATTATTACAAATGCACAAATACGGATATAATAATAACACACACGCTCGCATTGGCGGTTTTTCGATTGCATTCACGACGTATAAATATAGTTGACTTGATCCAATATACGAAAAAATATGATTAATTTTAATAATTGAGAGCCAGACGGACACAAAGACAATATTATTATCAAATATATTGTATAATGTAAATACACTTTTATAATGGTGTATCGCTTAATTGGGTGGCGGGCGGTGAACAGAAACGGTTGACTAAGAAATGTTGTAGATATTATCATAAAACAATTTTATATACAATAAAATATTATTGTGCCCGGGTTCAAACAGTGTTTAATATTCCTTAGTTTCTAAAAGTTTCTTGGTATTAAGTCAATAGGATTAAATTGAATTTCATCAAATCGCCCACATTATAGTTATATTTTACAACACGATCACTGTGATTTTTGTTGCAATTTTTATTTTAAAAATATTATGTTAAAGGGAAACACGATTGCGCTACATTCACGGTCGATACCAAAATACATGAAACTCGGTGGTAATGGTGGTATATAAGATGTAGGAAAAAACCGTTTTACCATTTTCTGCATACACGACTTGTGTAATTTAATATAGTATACAAATTAATAAATATGTACAATTTATGTTGTAGTAATAGATAGAAACGCAATTGAGAAAAATGTATACAATCAAAGCGCGGGACGGACTTCTGTATTCACGTAAAGCTCTCGCTTTCACAGGAAACTCGTCAATGAGTCCTGTTCGCTTACAAATTACTATTTTTTTAAAAACGCGAATATGGGCCATGTTTATTGTGTGGTTCGGCGTAATACATATAAGCGTTATTTTAATTTTTTTCTTATCATTATTGGCTTCTTATGTGTACGTCATACACGTCGTTCGTAGGGCGAAATAAGAATACAAATAAAAATGTAGTTATTTAGGCATGTCGAGCATTACGGGTTAGGTGATAAAGCACGTTTCCGTAAATATCTCTTCTCTCCTACCTGAAACAAATGAATTCGGGGCTTAAATATCCGTTGGTTCCCGCGTCAGTTGAACCTAATCAGTTACCTGACGCAGTGCAGGTGCTGTAATAATATTAGGACGTCGCGGGTGGAGAAATTATTTGGAAAAATATTACACAATAAATAAACAAAGATTCGACTCTGCCTCGTAAGCAACTATACGTGTAGCAGCGAGACACACTCAGTAGGTACACGGTATTTCGTATAATTCACGTATACTATTTCATTCCATTTATGCGCGTTGTTCCTTCGTCATCGGTATTCCATGAACTTCTCGATCGCCGCCGCGCACAAGATTCACAGTAGTGCACCGTAGTAAGTAATTACACATCGAGTTCAAATGTCCTTTTTCGGAAAACAATTTTTTTTTTTTTTTTTAATTCCGACTTCCACTTCTTCTTCGTTTCTGCCCGTTCATCCGTCGCGACTACACCGTCTTATTAGTGCGTTCCGCGACGCACGTCAATCGCGTATGTGGCGCATATGATGTATATTATTTCCCATTGCAGTAATCGTCTAAACACGGCCGTCGCCGTCTGTATGATAATAGTGTATGTGTATTATTTTAGTCTCGTTGCGTACGCGTCTCACTGCTCGAGCCTATAGAGTTTATTTTTAAAGTCATATTATTTTCTCGTCGGCCGAATTACTTGTCAACGAGCCACCTTTTTTTTTCCCCTCTGCGTCTCACCAACTCTTTCTCGCTCTCTCGCGCGCTCTGCTCTTCCCGCCACTCTTCGAAAAACAATATAAATATATGTACACATATTTATTTCTAATAAATACATGTTCAATTGCAATACGTGTGCTCCAAATATCGGTCGGTCATCGCACCGCCGCGGTCGTACGTAATAATAAATAATATTACTCTGCACGGAATATCGCGGTAAATATCGTTATTACGTTATCGCGGCACACGACGCAGCAATAACAACGCGCGACCAAATTCATATAATTACTATCGTTTCACGATTTTTACACGATCTTCGGTATATTAAAATATTTCCTGCTCATAACACTTATCGTTTGTACGTTCACGTTTCAGAGTGCACAGGCCACGCAGCAGGAACTCCAGACGTTCCTGTTGGACGAAAAGTCCAATATGAAAGAGATTCAACAAACAAAGTGAGTGTCGCATTATATTAATTATTGCATACGATGTGATTTAAGATATTTACACGGTTTCGGTCGGTTGAAATGCACTGCAGTATACTCGTATACACAAAACTATATGCGAATACTATCGTGAACCCTTTCCAATTAATTAATTTTCGAACGTTTATGTAGGGTTTGTTTGTTTTATACACCCCGTTTATTAATCTGTGATCCGAACGGTGCTCTATCTTTCTCTCTTTCTCTCTCCTTCTGAGTTTTTATTATTATATGGGCGATTGACGTAATGGACATTGTGACAGTTTATGAGACGGATATATTACCCACTCACGTTGTCATTTTATAATGTGAAATAAAATCATTTTTCAAGACGAGGTTTTAGACTCGCAAACGGGAAAAAATATAAAGCGTATTCAACTAGACGAGATAATATTTTGCTTATGGGAAACAAACTTTAAAATATCTATTTCTATCCGTCATTACCTCAGGTAACTAAGTTCAGTTATAAGTGATTGCCATTTCAACAAATTTACGAATTCGTTATTCAGGAATAAAAGTTGAAAAACTAAATTTCCACACTTTTGGGGACATAATATTTCTGGTCCATTGCATGTATATTGAAAAAATCTAAATATCACCCATGTTACAACATTAAACAGTTCGATGATGCGGACCAATGACAAAATAAAATAATGATTCAAATCTATAGTTTAAATACCTTAAACGATACATCTGTTTCAGCATTAAACGTTATAAATGACCAATTGCATTTTTTGTTTAAGTCCAACTGTATTTAAATGTATCTATATGTATTATTTCGGGATTATCAAATAAAGTTTTTTATTTTCAAATATTCTCACGTTCCATTCGTTTTTATTTCCAAGTACATATAATGTACGTCTTTATCTTGGACATACCTGATTGAAAATAATTATGTGTTCAGCACTAAAATTTTTCGCAGTGTCAACGAGACACACATAATACATGGTCGAGTTGTCTAAATCGTCATTATTGGTTTGGACAATTTTTCAATACGAACTCTGAACCGATATAATTATTCTATTCGGCGGACGTTTTCGGCGCCGGTGCGCGCGTAGATTTATTTCGTCGCGAGCCTGTACAATATATAAACATATCATGGTGAGTGATTTATTAATTTCCAAGCCATTACTTCATACCATCGTCGTCGTACACGATGATGATGATGATTCAATTACTGTCAATTTGTAGTCGGATATTGTGGCCTCGAGAACTGTTAGATTTAGTTTTTTGATTCGAAAAAGGTCAAACGTTTTGTCGCCGATTAATTTGACGTCCACTCCGTGTATACTATGATACTATGATGTCGTTTGAACGTTTCCCGTGGAACATTGAAAAATTTGCAACGCCGTGATCAAGCTATGAACACGATGAAACTTAATAAATAACTCCACGTCAAACGAAATTCGACTACATCGATCTTGCGTGTATCGCAGCTGCTAAACGATATAAACACACCGAATTAATCAGTGTACTGATTAATTTTTTCAATTCAAGTTCGTACGTTATAATACATACGTCATACGTAATATAGTAGTATAAACCATATTATCTACAATCGACAAATTATTTATATATTTCAATGTAATTTGTTTAGGTTTTTTTTCATGAGTGTTAAAATTGAAATTATGTTTGTACGATGTAAAAATGTTTATGTGTCACGGTTGGTCGTCGGCTCTACCGCATACGCGAGTTGTAGTCGTTACCGGAAATCATATTGGTTTTCATAGTTTATGACGATTTTAAATCGAAACTTTTTCGTGTATTATTATTACTGCTGGGTTATTATTTATTCGACACATAAACAAAACCACTAACAGTTTTTAGACAAACATTAATATTATACTGTAACAATTAAACACACTCGACTGTATTCACATGGCCTACAGGCAATATGTGTAATAATATATACGATTCTTAACTACATTCACTAGAATATAGTTAATATTAAGTTAATAGTATTAACTACTACTCTTGTCCGAGATGGATCGTAATTTTTTTTTCCTGTTTGTGTATCTATTCACGCTTTTGCATATTATATATATATATGTATATTATTATATTCAACTATAGTACTCGATATTTAACACGTGTTACCCATAGAAGTCCATACGCATGGATCAGGATTTCCCACATTGTCGAATCTAGGGGAGAGCAAGTGGGTGTGCTTGCCCTAAGCGCAGTTAGTATAAGGATGCTCTTAAGTTAACTAAAAATAAAAAATAAATGAACATACTCCATATATCCATCTTCGTAAGGACGCTGCATTATTATTAGCCCCGGACATCAAATTTCCTAGATCCGGTACTGGTTTCCTAACCTATGGGTCGCAATCCAATTAGGTTGCTATTGATAAACTAATGATAAAAAAAATAACTGGCATAGATTGTAAATAACTGCGGTCTAGCTATAATGACATATAATAGGTATATAGTTGGAAAAAATTCGAAATTTGTATTAGAATTTCGTATAAAAGCTGGGATAAAGTTCCATTTACAAACATTTTGTCTTATCTAATAAATTTTATTTTAATTTGAAGAAACAATACTTCTAGTTTTTCTTTGAGTTTGTATGAAATCAAATATAAATTGGACTAGGATTGAAATATCAACCGAATTATATATGTGCTTTTAAAATCTTATTTGATTTCAGTTTATTTTTATGAGTTAGGTATCGAATTTTGTTAAACTTCTGCAATTATAGTTAATAAAATAAATTCAAATTGTGTTATGTTCTATAGTTGTTTAAAATTTGTATTTAACATAACAGTGAAGCCTGTTTTATCGTACTTACATTAACTTAATATTGTTAAACTTTTCAGACGGAAATCAAATACAAACCTAGAAAAAAGCGAAGTCGTACATCTGAATGGGTTGGAATACTTCGACCCGTTCCTTGAGAGGAACTTGGAACATCCAACCACGTGAGTACAGCAGTATATTTTGTCATACGTGAAGATATTATACAATATTTTTTGGTGAGAATTTCAACGTCTTACGGTTGTAATTCGTTCAAATTAACAACAAATTAATTGGTGATGATGTCGTAGGAACAATTTATTAACGATTCGTGAGGTTGAATCCTTAAAATATGTCTCATTTATTCATAATACACCTATCGTTGACTGTGCACACCTAATTATTGGAGCTAATACTTTACACACGGTACTAATCGACATTAATTTCATTGTTTACAGCGACTGTGAAACTTTAACTCATTTGCTCAAAGCATCCCTGGGCACCGGTATCCTGGCAATGCCACAGGCTTTCCAGTGTTCTGGACTTATGACCGGAATATTTGCCACAATATTCGTATCGGCCGTGTGCACATTCTGTTCGTATTCACTGGTGAGTAGTGCATAATCTCATGTAAACTAATAAACAACCATATACAGAGGTCACGGATCAGTGCTTTGACGGTGTTTCACTCTCGTTTACTTATTATTAAACGCACGTAGGACGATGATATTAATAAGTATGCCCCACAAAAATGTACCCTATCTCTTTGAGTGTTTCATTTGACAGTAGTTTTGAAACTTCGAAGAAGTTTTGAACAACAAACATGATTGATGGGATATTTTCCTATAGTCACTCTTGTGAGTGAAACATTGAAATCGGTTAAAATCTCCAAGCGAACGTACGTATGGTTTATAGGTTAACTATACATCTGTGCACGTTGCTGTTGTATATTTGAAACAGATGCTCTTTATACTTGCAACCAACCGTGGTTTATGTCAGGCGCATTCCTAGACAGTTTTCAAGGAGAGAAAACCTATTTTAACTCAATAATTACTAATATAATACAAATAATAAATAAGTAGTTACAATTAGTTATTTAATAAAATCGATTTTTTGTATATTTTTAGCAAATCAATCAATAACACAATATTGTTTGTATTAATTATAAACTTTTGGACTAAAAAAAATAGTTAATGAAAATAGTTTTATTTCTTTGTTATATCGATAACCGCCTTTTTTCTTTCTTTCTGGATTAAATGTTAATAATTAAAATTAAGTTTGGAGATAAAAATTTTTGGCAGTGATTTGAAAAAGATTCTATGGTGTCTAATTGATCTAATACCTAAAGTTTGCTCTATTATGTCTTAATATGGTCCTTAGCTAATTGGAGTTGTTTTCTTAACTCTAATTTTCTGGGAGTTGCTTCTGAAAGTTGCAATGGGGTTTGAGTAGATGAGGTAGAACTGCTGAGAGACGAATTTGATGATGAATGATCTGGATTTGAACAAGCTAAGGGGGCGGATAAATCCAAAAGACTACCTGTCTTGTTACAACTAACTCGTTTAGCTAGTATGTCATCTGAAGCCAATTATCTTCATATCTTAATAATGTTCCCTTTTTTTATTATTGCCCAGAACATTGATATTTATTATAGTTATATCCACCCACTCCCTACATCTACGTGTCTGATGCTGTATCTGACGCTGTGTTTTGGTTGTCGTGCACAGGTGAAATGTGCCCACGTTCTGTACAAGCGAACGAAAGTGACAGCAATGAGCTACGCGGATGTGGCCGAAGTGGCGTTCGCTAACGGGCCCGAATGGGCGAAGAAGTTCTCGTCGCTCACCAGGCAAACGGTGCTGTGGCTGCTGTTCATCACGTATTTCGGCACGTGCAGTGTATACACCGTCATCATCGCCACCAACTTCCGGCAAGTATACATGTTCCACGTGGACACCAGCCTGAACCTGAGGTGCTTCATCGGCATGCTGCTCATACCGCTCGTACTGCTCAGCTTCGTGCCCAACCTCAAGTACCTGGCGCCCGTGTCCATGGTGGCCAACCTGCTGATGGCCGCCGGTCTGGGTATTACGTTCTATTATTTGCTTTGCGACGTGCCCAACATCAACGAGAGACCGTTAGTCACTCAGTCGATAGACAGGTTCCCGACGTTCTTCTGCATAACCGTATTCGCCATGGAAGCCATCGGGGTGGTAAGTTCACTATGAAATTATGTCTACTCCATTGGCCGCGTATTACACTGCCATTGTAATTCCATTGTGGTAATTTAAGTGTATCGGCGATGCATGTTAAAAGTTCAGATACTGAGCTCTTTTATGTCGTTCGATGGTTGGGGGGGGGGGAGATGAGGCAAATAGTTCGTACCGATCGGTTATCGAATCACAGTTCTCGAAGATTGTTGCATTATTAAAAATATGCGTTTGCGTCCACTGCTGTGATCTTACTCTGGTACGAGACACGTTTCCGATGTTATCAAAAGTTTGCTATTGTTATATACTAAACAATTAAAGAAAAAACGGAGATGACGAAGAACTTGGATCTTTTGGATCTGCATCCACTACGTGCTAGGATGTTTTACGTCAGTCTTTTTTACATTTCCGACTATCCGGATAACGTATTACAGTGGGTTTGGTAAATAATTAACCACTAAATATTTCAGTTGGACGACCTTGCATTGAATTGAGGTTATTGGATAATGAATAAGAGTATAGAGAAACAAATTTTCAGATAAATTTTAAATTGTTTACCCTATCGGTGTTCGCATGCGGCGCCACATAACTTACTTTTTACTTTAAACGGCAACACCATTTTTTCCCTGTCACATTCGGGTAGAGTATTTTTTTTTTAAACAATTTTTGCATAAAAAGTTTTTTCTTAGCTACAAAATTAGAAAAGTTAATAATTTGTTAGAATTTAATACTTACGAATAATCTATTGTTGATGAAATGTTAACTATGTCCAACCTAAACTCGAAAATCGAAATATCTTCAATATTGTTAAATATTAATTTGTAGACAGATAGGACTTATTTGTTAGGGTGAACTCTAAATTTGAGGTATTGTTGTATGACATATATCGAGTTACAAAGTATCACACTTTTTAGTTGGTTATGTTGTAATAATGTATTGTTTGTACATACAACCGGATTAAAGCTCTACGGAGGATATTCTCGTGTAGGCAGATAACGAGTATATTATACGCGCGTCCGAGCCTCCGATTAACCCGCACCGTTACATGCAGAGTATAGTTACGAAACTATATTATTATAACAATTACAATACAAGTTATTGTTGTTAAATCTCACTCGTTTGCCCGCAGGTGATGCCGTTGGAGAACAACATGAAAACGCCAAAAAACTTTTTGGGATTTTTCGGCGTGCTCAACACCGGAATGGGTGGTGTGACCGTCGTTTACATATTGCTCGGCTTCCTCGGTTACTTAAAGTACGGCGAAGAAACTCAATCGAGCATCACGCTGAATCTGCCCACCAATGAAATGTGAGTATATGCTGCTCGTTGCATACCGTCGTCCGTTATCTGTGCGTTCCACGTGTTTAAAACGAAGCGCATCCAATTTTACACATGTTGTACTCGGAGTGCGGAGGTGACGGATTTTTGGATATCAGAATGCGAGATCGCATATAATTGTAGGCGTGCGCAGGCTGCAGTATACAAAATAAAGTGGTGCAATTCTTTAAAATTGGTGAAATAAATGTTGAACCGCCAAAACGATTGGTTGTATTCGTATTATACAAAGGCTGTGTAGGTAGTTGTTACTACTGTGGCTAAAATAACATAATTATTTGTGTTTGCAGTTGACAAATGTAAACATACTACGTAACCCACCCTTCTATCCTTACATTTATTCACTGATTTTGAAGACATCAAGTCACGGTTACAAATATAATAATAATCATAACAGAAATAAAATTAATAATAATACGTAATGAATAATAGTAAATGTTGATCTCAATAATATATTATTTTTTATTACATCAAATATATCATTCTTAAACATTGTATTGGATGTATTGCAAATAAATAATAAAACCATTTTAAGCTATATGTATAAATATCAGAAGTGAAGCTTGTTAATTAGGGGTGAATATGGATGTATTATTATAATTATTAAACTATTATTTATTTTCACGAAGCATGCTACCAATAGAAAGATATACATTGTACTCGTATTCTAGTATTTTACAATAAATATAATAATAAATGTTCATCAACAATATTAAATGAATTAGTGATAAAAAAAAGCTCCATGAGAGAGGGAGGCGATGGCATATGCCAAAAAATGTGGTATGCTACAACGCATGAACCTTCTGCTGCACCCATGCGCACGCCTATGCATGCAATACGTGATTTTTTCGGCGCATCATCACATTTTTCTTCTTCTTCAACTATCTTCGAATTATGCCACCATATTCGGTGGAAAAATGTTCACCCATACCCGGGACGGTTTTCGATTTACTCCGTCAAAACAATGTCTGGCACCCCCTCCCGGGGGCGGTTCGGCGTTAATCCGCCACGTGACTCTTGGTTTCAATAATCTAACAACCACGATCCGATTGTGCTTGCAGACCCGCGCAGCTGGCCAAAATATGCATCGCCTTGGCCGTGTTCTGCACGTACGGTCTACAGTTTTTCGTGTGCTTGGAAATCGCGTGGACCAAGATCCAAGAGAGCTTCGAAAAGGTTACCAATTTCCACAACTACATTCTGAGAACGGTCATGGTCACATTTTCCGGTGAGTAGACCGTCACGGCGGGCGGTATTATGCAGTAGGTTCGTTATCGCTAAATAATAACTATCGTTCGTTTCGGATTTCAGTGCTGATCGCGATAGCCGTACCGACCATCGGCCCTTTCATCGGGCTCATTGGTGCCTTCTGCTTCTCGCTGCTCGGCATCATCGCACCGGTCGTCATCGAGTTCGCCACATTCTCGGACAACGTGACCGTCTGGATGACCGTCAGAAATGTGGTGCTGATCGTCGTCGGAATTTTGGCGTTGGTGTTCGGCACGGCCAGCAGCATCACCGAAATTCTCGTGATGTACGCGCCCGAAGTCCCTCAAATAGTCACCGCCTTCAACGGAACGGCCGCTCAATGATGAACTGCGCGTTTGGTGGTACTAGACGGCCGTCGCAACTGAGTACAGTATTCAATACAACATGTATAATTAGGGACGATAGTTTTTTTTTCCGTCGTCTTTACCACTCCCTCCCAGTAGACAAGCACTTGAGTTGTGCAGGAAGAAAAAATAATATTTAATAATATAATATATAATATATAATATTATAATATATTATATAAAGCACTTGCACATCGAGAAAAATGTTAAAGTATTAATTTTTTTTCTAAAAATGTCATTCATAAGTATAATAATATTTTTGTGTGATTGATTTTAATTGTATTATCTAAGGCTTTATAATCATATTTTTATACGTTAAGAAGAGTTATGAATATTTTTTTTATCATAACTTTGTAATATGTTATACTTAAGTAAATATAATCATACAATTGTATTTCCTTTTTATACATAATAATAGTAATAAAATATTATATATTTGTCATAATAAGACTAGACTTATAAAATACATATTTTTGTATATATATATATATATATATAGATATACAAAAAAAAAAAAATGTGCCCATTATAAAATTAAAGTTGATTATAAAAAAATAGTATTTGATATGATTAATTAGTTTTGAGGATAGTTTAACGTCTTTGGCCCTTTAATGCGAGTTTCAATACTGTTTAATGCTTCCAACATAGGAAAGAGTTCGGCCATTAGTCCATTGGTGACGCTTTCTAAATCCTCTTCGGTCACAATAAATCCGTCTAAAAAAATATTTAAAAATTATAGTTTAATTAAATATTTCAAAGATCTTATTTTCTACCATTGTGTTTTTCGATAAGAAGATGGCAGTATACGCTCAATATACTAGTAATATCATCGTCCTCTGTTCCCGTGGATATCAGTTCGCTTGGCCAATGGCAACTCCTATATTAAAAATAATTTAACATTAATTATTATTACACATCCAAGTATGTATAACATGACTGAAATGAAAATGAAGCTCAGTGCTCTTCCACATTTTTTGGGTCGTGACCCAATTATGTGGTTATAAACAACAAATTCACAGTCCATCCAAAAATTTCTGATGGCGATTTGGGATGCACTATAAACGTGCTAAGGGGGTATGCAGAGCATTTAGTTGTACACCATAAACACAGAGCCCTGTTTCTAAAAATATTCAAAATAAATAAAAAGCATGAATTTAATATTACACTATAATTATTATTATATTTTATATTCAGTCCCAGATATTTTTATTTATTTTTTAAATTCAAATTATTTATCAATAGTTTATATACAGAAATAAATAAATGCTTAGTCTGGAATATTATTATATTTGTAATGTACGACCAGTTTCGAATTAAAAATCCATACATTACAAATACATATAATACTTTAGGTTAAGCATTTATTTATTTATTTTTATATATAAACTAATTATATATTAATTTACGAGTATTAAATAATTTCTAAATTAAGAAGTACTATGCTTTAAGAAAGATTAAATACCTTAATGCTCTTTACTACAGAGTAAGAAATGGCTATAAATTTAAATACCGAAGAAATAATTGATGATTTCAAAAACTCAACTGAATGAAGATTTGTTTTTTCATTGATGATATAACTATATTTTTGTTTATTTACACTATTTAAATATATTATTAAAACTATTTCAAGTGTTATATAAATATATATATTTTTTCATAATTTATTTTAAATTTTAATTTTGAAGATAGTTATAACAATAAAAAAAATGACTATTTAATTATTTTTTTTTAAGGAAAAAATTAAAATTTTAAACTAAACAGTTGTTTAGATATTTGTGTATATATATTTATTTTTACTAGAATTTGAACGCTTAAAATAATTTTAAATGTGCCTTTTGCTTATCCTGAAAAATAGTAGTGCTCTTATGAGATGCACTGATGTATAAGTTAAATGTATATTGTTGTTATAACTATTGAGTCCATATCGAAACTGAAAAGTGAATTGTGACCTACCGGGCCAAGACTGGGGTTGTAGACCGACTTGGTAACCCTATAAAAACCTAATATAAAAACTATTATAGATAAAAATATACTTGTTTTGCTTGGCATAAGTCAATGCGTTTGGCCAATCTGATTCCTGTAGTATTTGGACTAAACTCTCTTCAGGCGTGGGCGCCAGTGGATGTGTCCCGCTCTCCTCTTTGGCCCGTAACAGAGCTCTTCTCACGGTGCTTACTTCGGCCGACAAGTTTTGAAGCTGCAGCGACAACGACGGAATAAATTATAAATTATATTTAACCACCCAAGTGCTCTTTAAACGATGAGTGAACCAGTGACTGCAGCATGCCAGTGACGTAACTTTAAGATTCGTATATTTAAGAGTGAACTTTCCTGTGGGATCTTCGAAAGGTATGAGGAAAGCACCAGGAAAAATAAAAATTATACGTTTATACCAACTATAATTACGAAAATTATGCAAAGTGCTTTTCTCGTTTTTGAGTGGACAATATATGGGTTACCAATGTGTCGTCAGTTACGTCACTGGATCATGAGTGCCACATTTTTAGTGAAAAAACCTTGGCAGAAGGGTTCAAGTTAGTCTAATCGTTTGCGACATACTTTGATGTCCCCGGCCGAGTTAGACAGTGTGATGTACATTTTTGCAACAGCTTCCAACAGCAATAACAACTGCAAGTGCAGCTTGTACAGGGCTCTGCCCAAGTCTAAAATGGATTCCTCGTTCATGTAACCGCTGCCACTGCCTCCACCACCACCGCCGTTACTGCTCGTGCTCGATCCTTCAAGGATACGTTCGCTAAGTTTACACACTTTAAGCGTGGTCCGCACAGAAAACAAACACTGAAAGCAGCGATAAATTTCATTAGTTTAGGACTGCAGATGTATAATATTGTTGGTACATGAACAGTTACAATTATGATAATATTAGTGTTTAAAATAATTTTAATCGTATTGTACCTAGATTTTACTTTGAAATTCATGCTTATATAAATAATTATACAATATTATACAACAGGAATAAAGTAAACGCGGGTCGGCGATCATTGACGTAAAATCGGCACATTCCATAAAGAGTCATCCATTCAATCTGTGAGATTTGAGCGATATATATATATGCTTCGTAACAAGTATAATATTTATTTCCACCGATATAAAACCATCGATTTTAATCTATATTCTACTATATATTTACTTCTTCATTTAACTACGGGACGTATAAAGTCTATTAGTGGGCCACCATTTGGTGATCACTGACCCAGCACCTACCACCATTCCACATATCTAGCACCTGCCTCCATAACACCTAGCACCTGCCTCCGTACCATATACCTAGCATATGCCTCCATAACTCCATTGTTAACTGAAGTCATATATTTTTTTATATATGCTCTAATAGTAGTGCCTTGTGAAGTATTATTTTACGTTATATTCATATTAACAAAAATAATGTGAATGGTGAAATTCTTATGGCGGAAATTTTAATCTTATGCTTCCTGGATATATTTTGAAATACAGTTTTTTTTAATTACAGTTTTGAGTGTGTTTATTGAATAAAAATACCATTTTTAATCCTTTTTCATTTTAGTAAGGTATCAAATATTTCTGATCTACGATGTTTATGATATGGTGTTTATGATCGGCTGATATTTAGCTGTGTGCAATTGTGTGCAAATCTGCCTAGGAGAGGTGGTTTGGCAGAAAAATATACCTCGGAAGTTTGATCTTTTCGGTCCAACAGCGTATCAATGTGTTCACGTATATGAAGCATAGGGAATCGCAAAGCACCGTCCAACTTTAGAGCGGTGGGTGAGAACCATACGAGCGGTGGGTCGGCGTGCGTGGTCAACACTATAATGACCGAGTTGAGATGGGTCAACACTTGTCTGCAGTTCGCGTGGCTCTGAGCACAACATCCGGTCGTGGCTGGGTCTTCTTCCACGTACTCGTTCAGGGTCACGCAAGCTTCGCGAGTTAGCCACACGCATTTTCTTATGATATCCTATGTGCACATACAAGTTGGAAAATATCATCAGTAATACTTCTACTTCAATATAAACACGTAAAAACCTATTAAAATTACAACCAAACCCACTTACTTTTACCACTCTGTGCAGTATGTGAAACATGTGCAGCGTATTGGAAGGTGTCTGGTCCAACAGCGACCGCACGGTTGCCCTCCAACATTCTTCCGTATCGTCTCGCTGGAACGACATGAGTGCGTTCGGGTTGGGCGAGGCATTGCACGGGGTTAGATCGCCAAGATCGCCGATACTCGAACCGCTTTGCATGGCAATCGTAATAATAATAATATGTTAGTGAAAAGTCGAAAACAAAAACGTAATACACAACATAGGAACACGACTGGCGATGACAAAATTATGTTAATTGTTTAACTGCTTATTTACTGCGGTCATTTGAATACATAATATTGTTACGCACGAGTTTTGCCTCACATTAACCAAGAACATGCGTGTAATTGAGTCTTAAATTTTTTTATTTTTTATATTATCTCTATACAGATCTGTGAATTTTACGGGTGATTATGATTTCAAAATAAACGGGATACAAGTTTAACCTAACAAAAATGTACCTAAAAATTATGCGTGGGTACACTACACTACTGTGTACGTGTTGTTTCGTTTAATCCAACATCAAGTGCAACTTATTCGTAATAACAACAATGGTAATGAGACTTACGACGTGTCCGAACGTGTAATCGAGTCGGTACGATCGCGGTGGCCGCTGCAAGTGTTGGGCATGAGCTGTGCGTTGCACGCGGCTACTTCGTCCAGGGGCGACACGGAACCTAACTCGTCGTCCGACGATTCGTCGTTGGCTTTTTTTGCGCGCAGCATTGGCGATTGCTCGCTGACGCTCTCTTCTACGTGCGAGACGCCTGTTGCATTCAGTGACCCTTGCACGGCAGCCGTGTCGTTACCGCCCAGCGGCAACCGTCTAACGCCCCAGTTGAAATTGTCCGTGCTCTCGCCCTGCAAACGAACGCAACAGTCAACAACCAAGTCGTGCGAACACGGATAATATTTTTATTTATTTTTTATTTATTGATCTTATACACGAAAAATAAATAAATATAGTGTCAGCGTTAATTACTTCGACGCTTTCGCTCTCGTATTCGAGGAAATCAAAGTCCTTGAAGACTGTGCCAAAATGGTCGGCGTTTTCCTCACGTTCTTTCCTGGAATCGCTGGGTATAGACACGTCCGGTGCCGACACTTCTTCGGTACTGCTGGCCATACTCGAATGGCGTTCGAGCAGCTCGGAGCTCTGGCTGAATATGACCTGGAGATGGGCAAATATATCGATATTATTCGCGAGGTGCTCGAAGTGTAAACATTTGATGAGTGAAGTCGGTACAGTACAACACAACAGGTACTCCGACCGAAAACAGCAACAGCAACAATAACAACATTAAAAAATAAAAATAAACAAAATGTCGTGTGTGTATAAGACTAGAAGCGACGAGTGACGAAAATTCAACACTATGCACTGTACATCGAGGTGTGCTAAACCCTTTGCAAATATATTAAGCTCCATAACAATGTTGTTTGCTTACACTCATATATATATATATAAATTAGGCAAAATGAAGAGACTTAAAAACATCTAATGGCTACAAAATGCATATAATTCTTAGTTTTTTTTACGGATTTCTTTATAAAAAAAGTAGATCAACTTATTTGAAAAAAGAGGAATTGAAATCATTTTTTTTATCGGAGTCATATTCAGGATATATATTTCTGAAAATTCGTAATCATATATATATTTATTTTCGGTTAACCGGGGTTGGTCGTCTCATCTCATCAAAGTACTTTGAACTGTACTAACATTATAATATTTAAAGTTTTTTAAAAAAAATTTTTTAAGCGATTAAGTGCTGAAAACGTTCTTTCCGGAGTGAAAGAGGTAACTAGTAACGTGGCGAATAATTGTAAAAGTATTTTAATGTTAGGTCGAAGATTGGTGCAATGAGAGAGTGAATCAAGAGCAGAATTCGGTTTTGGAATAGTATTTTGACTCCATTGTTGCCTCCATATGAACAGGTCAGCTCTGATTGTAGATGAGGTATCATCAAGGAGATCTTGGACATATATTTTAGCAGCTTTTATAATATTTTTATCGTCATACATATTTAAATTGGCCGGAATAAGTCCTTCAAGTGGCATAACATCAATAAGCCTTTGATTAAAACGAGCATTGATTCTATTAAATAGTCAAGATACATTATACATATAAACACGGCCCATGGGGGAGGCTATAGCCCCCTTAGCTCCCCCCCTTGGCTACGCCACTGATTACGTGTGAGACGCACGGTCATAGAAGCTAGAAAAATTTGTTTACCCATCACTGTAAATATTTACCGTACCTTATTCAGTGTGTTTAAGTCGTCCTATTTTACATAATAATAAAACGATTAATTAATTTTAGAACATCAAGTGTATCCATAATAGAGACGGAGTGGAAACTATAAGGTTTAAGAACTATAATTTGATCAGATCATGTTACACGTTATTTTGTTTGGAAAAAGAGTGAAGCATCAAATAGCGTAAAGTGAATATACTATTTTAAGCATCGACACCCATAGAACGTTAAGTGAGTCAAGTTTACATAGTATTAATTTAAATTAATTTAGCAATCGGCGTGTTACGATCCACGTCATCATTATTTTCAAAAATTAAACCGCACAAGTGAACGATATTTCTATATAACAATATTGTAAATGCAATGTTTGGATCGACATGCCTAGGTAGTAAGTGAATATTTCGGTACGTTACGAAATATCCAAACACAATTTGGTCTTGTCTTAATATAACAATGTGTGATGTCGATTTAATTAATTTTTTTTATGAACACTCAATTAATGCTATGAAGAAACGCTTCAGGCAAATCGATTATTCTTCTCATGAATTTTTAAATAATTATGCGGACTAATTATAAAAAGTACGGTAAACCAACTGGTAAAATTGAAATTGTATTTTATCGTCTTATATGGTATTATACTCCAGTATACAATTTAGCCGGCAAAGAACGAATGTACGAATTTTACAATACACTATTTTTTAAATATTTGATTCGTTTCGAAAAAAAAAAAGAAGTATATATTGGAAATAACGTTGATTATTGCTTTCGAAAGATAAATTAGAAATTATTATTTTTTTTATTTAAAAAATTAATTATAAAAGGGTTTCAAATAATGTAGACATTTCGTATTCTTGAATTAAAATTTAAATACTTAAAAACACGATACCCAGAATTTTATTTCGTAAAAATAATATTAAAAACATAAAAAATAAGTTAAAACAATTTATAAATATATATTTGTATACAATTTTCAGACATAGAAAATGAAAACTGAAAACTTTATAAATTTGTAACTGAAAAGCAAATAATTGTTACCATTCACTATAACAATTAGTTAGAAGCTATGATTCAAACTTAATGTCCATAAAAACTGATTAACCACATATAAACTTTTTTAACCATAAAATAATAAAATGGTGTCTTTATAGTATCTTTTAAGTTTAATGAGGTATCTCATAATATTTTTGGTACCATTTACCATTAATTTATCTTAAAAAGTATTAACATAGTTAACCCAGTTCATTCAGTCTTATTTAACTCATAAAATCTAAAATGTATTGCTAATAATCAATATAAAATGTATTTATTTAAGTAAAGTACACGTTAGTTATTTATAAAGGAATATAATTGTTCAATTGTTTTTGCTAACAGTAGAAAAGTAAATCGTTTAGTTCAGTTTACAATGATCTTTAGAAGTGGCATGGAGAATAAGAAATTGAACATCGAGTCACATATAAATACTATGGAATAGCTTCAACTTAGTATTTTAATTTCTTAAATTTCACGACCAGGAGTTTATAAAATATTCATTGATGAAAGATATTTCACTTAAACTTAAGCTTTTTTTTGGCTTAATTCTTTATTTCTAAAAATGTGTATACATAAGTATTGTTTGAAAAAAAAATAAAATTTGTAGACTTCAAGATATTTTATAAGAAAAAAATATTTCCTTCAGTGAGATATATTAAATATTCATTTGAGTGTATATTTTAGCATATTTTATAATTTAAATACCCGCTGAATATATAGTAAACCATTCATCATCGGAATGTTGCGAAGAAATATTCTGATAAGCCACTCCGCCTCAATTCACATGCGTCATCGTTTAATTTATCATAATCTAAATATACATACCGAAGGGCTCTTGGGTAACCCGACTCGTTGTCCGCATGTCATCAATAAGCTAACTAGTAAATCTCGTACTCGACTCTGGCAATAAAACAAAAGTTGGTCAAAATATATTCCGTTGAATGTGCCGTCAATATGAACATCGAACGATGTGTCGATGTCGTATTACTTACTTGACAAAGCCACGGTCTTTTCCATCCAGGAACGGCTGAGTCAGAAGGCGACAAAGAAGTGGATCGTCTCTGCAGAAGTACATTGTTCGAGTTGATGGATTCCAAGTCGGCAATAGCTCCTGTTGCTACTTTTCGGCCGATTAAAGGTGTTTGGGACATGTCGAACGTAAAATCCATAGTCCTTCCTGAAAAAAAAAAAAAAAAAGAACGAAGACCATAAGAGTTAATAAAATACAATCAAAATAAATACAATTACCCGGCAATTCCTTTTTCATGAATACATCGATGTCGGCAAATGAATAATGAGAAGCCGTGGGGTGTGAGTCCCAGTAAATATAATGAGTTGACGTTGGTGGAGCGACTAATGTGGAAGAGCGGGTGACAACCAATTTCAAAACTTTCAATGCTTCCTTGTAGTTGACACCCTGAATAAATTACAAAACATGTCGGTATATGAGCATTGCAAACGTACAAAGATGTCTACGAAACATATAATACATCTGATGTTATTATATATTTTAGTCGTCACCTCGATGTATTTCGCGATTACTCTCAGCAAATCGGCGTTGAATGGTTGCGAAGTGGTCGACGACAGGTCCACGTAGTGCAACATGCAATGAATAATGTTTAATACTGGAAGTTGAATAATATAGGGTCCTCTCTCCAGTACCTTAAAACATGACAAATACAGTTAATATTAATGAGCAATAATAGCTTTTCTCAAAATAATATCGTCCCTAAGTGTATACGTGTATAAGTATTATGGATACGGTAAAATAAATAAATAGTGATTTAAACAAAGTTTGTATTTTTGGTTATAACATTTATTATAATATAGGTTGTCAAAATGAAAATCATAATTTTAATTCAATTATATAAGCATTTGATTGATCTGCAGTGCATTAGGCAATAGTTTTAGCAATGGCGGTTTAACAAGATATGGAAAAAGGGTGGCAAATTTGCGCTCGGTCTTATTAAAAAAAAAAAACCAAAATTTACTTAATATTATTTACTTATTATTATTATTATCATTTTTTTTTTTTTAATTAACAAATAAAACAATAAAATATAATAATTATTACATAAATCAAATTATAAAAAGTATTTATAAACATTTTTACTCTTGATATCATTTTATTTATCCATGTGGCTAGTCAACATGTTCATATTGGCCACCCCTGATATAGAAGATCGGTTACCGTTAGAGTGGGTAAGAACGTTGAAATTTATCCCAAGAGTATTTTTGGATAATCTATAAAATGATTATGTAGCCTACGTACTCGTATAAATTAAATTATGACAATAACTATTTAATAGGTGAGTTTACATTCAGGCGTCGAACGCCAACGAATGCTACAAAATACTAAGTTAGCTAAACGGCTATTCTATAAGTTTTTCGAAATTTGCTTGCCGTCGCTCAGGTTTAGAACTTAAATATATCATTTGGTACTGTTTGGTATTTAGTACATTTGGTTCACGTTCAATTATGACAAGTACAAAAATAAAATGGTATTTAATATGACTAACTTTCGGCTAAACATAATTTTTTGACGATCATTTTATTAATTAAAACTGGTTAAAAATGAATCTCTTGATAATCAATCCATCACATTAATTGTCATTCACTGGTATAAATCATATCCTATACATGTATTATGAAATCTGACTAATTTTACGAACAAAATGACAAAGATAAATATTTATTAGGCGGGTAATTGAATAAATGTGATTTGATGACTTTCTACAGCAATTTATGCCGTTATGAATCTTATTTCTATATTTTATGCAATGTTATACTAAGACTATATGTGCATGTATATTTCGATACATAGTTGACTGTAAATAGCGACTGAATTCGTATAAGAATTCTTCAACAGAATTTTGTACTAATTAGTTTCGTTCGTTTACGTTCACCGGCTAACATAACTGTTGAGATCTTATGCGAAAATGATAGTCCTCACATTGAAGACACAGCCCAGCAATTTAAATAGGTAGTATTTCTCGACCGTATTATTATTTGGTAACATAAACGTGAATGAAAAATCATTCGAGTATTAATAGGGGTAACCTCATCTTCATAAGTGCTCGAATTTAGTGGGGGAGGAGAGAAGGAGACGCAGGAGAGCTGAGTACCCAGCTACTCAAAAAAATGTGACGCATCACTATAAATAGGGCATAATTCTATTTATTTTAAGGGCAATTTTTCGCCAAAAAATTCTCGGCTTCTTTTGTTTTTAAGTAATAAGGTCCCATATTTTTTTTCTCCAATTCGAGCACTGATTGCCACTGAATAGCTATCGAGACGGCAAACAAGTCAAATTTTCAGGAGCAAACGCGTTCCCAAACTAACCTCAACTAGAAACGCGAGCATGTTGTGACTGAGGTGCGAATACGCGTCATACAGATATTTGACCACGCATTTGGTCCACTGGAAGCTCTCCTTACTGAACGTGCGTCGGCTGTACAACGTCATGACCGTGGCCAAGTTTTCCAGCTTCATGCTTTTATTGGTGCATAGCTGCAATAAGGAAAATTAAATCGACGGCGTTAGTCGTAAAACATTGATAATTTCATTCTCCTGCTTCAACTCAACGCCATCTTCTCCTACCCTATATCGCACTCGTAGTCGACTGGTATGGCATGACTCACCTGCGCAATATTCTCCGCGCTCATGATGCACAGCTCGTTGGCGTCCTCGTAGTGCAGCAGCATGTACGGCAGCAGCGCGACCACGTTCATGGGGAACGCTAGGCTCTCGGACGGGTCAACCACTAGGAGGTCCAGAAGCGGTGTGAGCTGCGACAACAGTGGAACTACGTGCTCGTACGTCACCGGGTTCGTGCAACCCTTGAGCAAGAGCGCGTGCACGCCCGGGAACGATGGCGTGCGCAGCTGGATGGCTAGCTTGTCCACCTTGTCCCGAGTGTCGGGCCGGTCCAGCGGCAGTCTCCTGAGCACGCGCGACAGTAGCCGACAGGCGAGCAAGAACTCGTGCTCGTAGTCTGACTCCAGCAGCGATACGGCTAGCCAGAACAACTGCCCGAGCACAGTGAGCTTATCGTCCTGCGTGGCAGAGTCGCCGAGCAGCTTGAGGTTTTGCTGCGTAGCGTTGCAGTTACCTTTACCACCGCCACCGCGGTCGTCGTCCTTGGAATCGGTTGCCGCGGACTGCGAGTACGGTACCGCCTTTCGCGAATAATGCGACACGGAGTAGCTGGTGCTCCGGAAGTGCGACGCCTGATTGAAGTACGACGGTGGCATCCGCCGGTTGACCGGCGCCTTTTGCGCGACCGACCGTTTACTACCCTCGACAATTGAACTTGTATCTTTGTTGTTCAAATTTGGGGTAGACTTGAAAATGTCTCGAGTCATGTCCAAAGGCCGGAAGTCCGTTTCTAGCGAATCCACGGCTGCTTCCAGAGTCAACAGTAACTCGGTCACATAACCCTAAACGTACGAAAAAGATATGACGCGTAAAACAGTGAAAGACATATATTATACAAAAGTAATTTTATAACAAAAAGTATTATTAAAATTGTTAACAATATTATCAAAAGTTTATTTACTGTACGCGTTATTATTACCACGGCATTTTCGAATTTCAAACACTAACCTGCATATCTTCACCTTGTTCGGCGACGGTTTCAATTAATCTCGATAATATTTCTGAAAGCATTCTTGTGGTGATCGGAATACGTAATGCTCGGAAAATCTGCAAGTAGAATAAAACAAATAAAATATTGTTTAATGTTGTGCTGAATACATTTTTCAGGAGCTTAAAATTAGCTTAAAATGTCAAACTAAAATCGCATATTTTATGTTTAATATTAAACGATAATGTTTAGGCTTTTCTCAATCAATAACTATTTAAAGACAAGGAATATTGTATAATGTTTTTTTCTAAAATCGGGCTTTTTTTTAAGATGAATAAAACGTGATTTTTCCAATAAGTATTGAAGTAAATCACAATTATGTACGAAAATCAGAATTGTACAAAATTTACTTTTTCTTGTACATTAAATATAATATTATTTAAAACATAAAAACTACTCGTTCATATACGATTGTGTAATGAGTAACATTGTTTTGTGTTGATTTTCTACTGTTAATTTATCTGAAAAAACTAAATGGAGTTATTTTATTCTTCTAGAATGTAACGTATATAAATGAAAGTAATAAATGTCCACTTATGAAAGTATACGTTTTTAATCGTCAAGTTTAACAGGTTGACTGTCATGAAATCCAATACTGGATTTCACCTCGCCGTATCCAAACTGCCAAGGAATTTTTTAGTTGATTTGCTCAAAAAAATATTTCGGAAAAAAGTTCAACTATCTATTTCAAAATCTGTAGATATATTTTCTAAGGTATTTAAAGGTTTTCTAGGTGTTTTTTGTATTGTTTATAGATCCAAAATAGAATCTCATGGCGTGGGTGACACTATCGATATTTTAATTAGTTTGTATTTATACAAAGTGAGATCCAAATCAACCCATCAATTTATCAAATCGTTATACCACAGCTATTATATCATTAAGTGTAAGACATAAATTAACCATTTGTGTGTTTTTATAATATAGGTTCATAGATTTTATGTAAAATAATAATATTGCACACATATCTACTAATAATAATGTAGCACTATGATAGAAATTTTGAAACACTTGACAAATTAGAATATTTATAATACAATATATTTTATAAATATGTAAATATTTATCATGATGACAATAATGGAGGGAATTTTATCAGTGACACTATGAGGTCTTGTGCATTTGTACCGATGTTCACTATTTCTACCATTCACATTTGTGCAACTTGCTAACGTATTAAACGTAATAATGAAGTCAATCAAAAAAATATTAAAAGTTGTTTTAATAGGATAAACAAATTAAATCATAAAAAATCAATAAAAGACGATAATTTCTTGTTAAAACTACAAAATAAAACTAGAAAGACGGTAGAATCTAATCATGATTAATTTACCGTGATATATGAAACCCAATTCGAGATCTCAATTACTAAAATGATCTATATGTGAGATCTCAAACATTTTTTTGAGCATTTAGGTGAGGTCTAGATATGGGTCTCATGGCGGGATGGACAAATTTGACAAAAATCGGCTTGGCAATTAACCTGTTTAAGTATATTGTTGGTAATTTAAATAAAATAATAAAATATAAATCTGAAGCATTACTTATTTTTTGTTTCCTGATAATCTATTGTCTTAATTCATAAAAACACTTAGTTAATAACTTTTAAGAAAAAACTATTTTTTTAGATTATACAGCAGCCTTAAACATTTATAAAAAACTCGATATAACTCGTTTTACTGAAAACTTGATACTTCAGTTTTTTATATTCTCTTTTAAATGTTTACCATCGATAATCCATTATAATACGTAGTTTGCATAAAAAACAATTTAGTTAAAGATTTTGTAATGCAAAATTTAAAATATATAAAATACAGATTGTACAATGTACATTAATTTCTTGTATTTTCTATCCAAGTAAGCTTTTAAAATATAAATATAATTTTTTTAAAATATTTTTAGTCATAGTTATATTTTAAATAACTCTTTAACAAATATTTTATAGAATATTAAATAAAATGTAGGTTCCACCATTTGAACTAAAAAAAATATGAATGTAAGCAAACTGCAATAATCAATATATGATTGAGATTTGGGGAAAATAGTTATTTCAAAGAATCATTATTTTTAAAGTGTATTAAAAATCAATAAGTAATAAATAGATGAAACGTTTAGGTAGATGAGTCTTACCTGTAGTGATCGTCCGGCATAATGTCTTGAAGAACAGGAAAGTCCCAATTGAATAGCTGTTTGTGCCCATCGTTCGCTAATTAAAGCATGGGGCAAAAACTCATGAAACACTCTGACAATATGCTGAAGAAATACGTCCAACTGTTCTCCGCTACGAATGGACCATACTTTGGCAGTTATATCTTCGTAGTGCCACAGTGGTTGATCTCCCCTAGAAAACAAAAAAAATAATCCAGCTTGAACTGCACGTGGATCACCTTAATCATGAGGATCATATACATGAGTAGTTTAAGTATCTTACCTTGAAGCAATGAAATCAATGAGCGATTTAACTATTTCTTTAATGGTCAAATTTGGTGTAGATGGATTTAATTGATCCATTCCTAATATTACTGTCGAAGCATCGTCTTCTACGATTGATAATGTTTCAAGTATGAGTTTATGAGATATTAAAAAAAATTCACCATAAACTTACCACAAGGAGAAGGTATGACGACCAAACTAGTAGATTGAGAACAACTAGTTCCGATAGGTACTTGCAAGTAACTGTCAAAAGATTCATTGGCTTCTGTAACATTTTTTATTTTAAATTTAGTTAACACTTTTCTAGAAAGCAAGTTCTTGCAATTTCTAAGATAACAATATAATAAAATGAATAAAACAAAAAAAGACTACAGATAAAAAAAGATTTATGATATTTTTTCAATAAAGCAAAAAAAAATTTCAGCGTTTATGTTTTAAGGTACGTTTTACAGCCGATACACGTATAATAACATACATTTCATTCAAATCACGTCAAACGTATCATTTTACCGCTCCCTTATTTTTTTTTAGCGCATTCATTTACATTTATATTGTTTAATTATTCATGAGAACAATGCTTTTTCAAAATAATAACGGTGTTTTGATGTTATAGTTGTTCATATTGTTGAAAAATGTATTTGTTTTAAAATTTGATTATTTTAATACTATTATTTACCTAAAAATTATAAGTATATAAACATTTATAAATTATTATAAATAATTAAATAAATACTAAACATTTAAAGATAATCAGTATAGCACGAGTAAACAGTCAAGACATGTTCAAATTATTATCTAAATTAATCGTGATGTAAAAAAAAGGTTTAGGGTAATTTTTTTTCTATATGAATGACTTGTATTTTTTCTACAAATCCAATTATAAATTACTTATAAAAAAATAAGCTTATAAAGTTTTGATATTGTAAAATAATATTCACTAAAAATATATATATAAACATCAATAACATGAAGATTACTATTTTAACGAATACTCGTATAAAATACGTACATACCATGAAATAATATTATGCAAATACAATATGGCTGATAGACAAAAATATGATATAACTACAATAGTTACATAAAAATGAGAACATTTTACGAGTGTAATATTATTATTTGCATAAATAGGAACGTCATAAGATATTCTATACATCAGCGAGTTTTTGGTATAATCATCAACATTTAATTTTTAACATTTTTAATTCAAACGATATTTTATTAAAATAATTATACACCTTATTTTAATTTACGTTATCATGTAAACAATTAAATTGTATATTTTTTTACAAGATTCAAAAATATAAATTTTCTTTTAATTCCAAACAGATCAAAAAATTATAAATATTCTGTGCCCTATATTTTTTGTTATCAAGAGAACAAATTGGAACCGTGAATACCTTAATAATAAATTTCACACAGAACCTTTATAGGATTTTAAATTTCAATGGATGTGTTGAGGCATGTGCAAAAACCGTAAAAAATAAATCATAAAAAAAATAATGAAAATCTTGTTATTGGTTTTTTTTTTTTTTTAATAAACAAAAAAAATTATAAACATTTTTGATTATAAAGGTCTTCCAAATAATACCATCTTAATGATATTTTAAAGTTTAACATATAAATACACTATTGTTCTGGTCTGCATGATAATGAACAAAGTTAGATTACTGCCAAATATAGAACTTTTATAAAATTAAAATTTGTTTTTAATATTTATAGTTAATCAAAAATATGTACAATAATATTCTATTGTATAATACATTATTATTCTACGAGTCTGAAGGCAAATTTAAAACTTTTTTAGATATCACTAATCAGACAGCGATTTTGATTAATTTAACAATCATACCTGTGAAGTTATGCTGGGAAACAGGCACTGGTGGTGTTGGTAGCCCAATACCGAGGCGCATTGTGTTTCGATTCAGGAGGACTTGAGCGATAGTTAGCTGATCAGAGTTATTAGCTAAAACTAGCAAAAGGTTTAGCAATAACTGTTTACAGTGTTGGTGTACCAAGGGACGACTATGATCCATTCCTAGCAATGCAATGTGTAGCATTAATGGCATATGGATAGACCAGTCAATGTCTAATGAGTCCGATGGTAAATCTTTCAGCAACATAACAGCAATGTTGCATCTAAGAAAATATAAATAATCATCTCTGAAAATAAGCATGGCTCAACAAATATTTTTACTAGGTTAAATATTCATATTAATTAACTCCAGGTACCTAAATTTGTTTTTCTTATATAGTTTTTTATTTAATAGAAAAACAATATGTATTGTTTTTCTTTGAACGTATCGTATATAATACTTAAAATTTGAAAACAAAATATGAATATTTTGTCAACGAAAAATTAATTTACATTATTTAAAACAATAATATAATAAAATAATTAAATTTTTATTATATTATTTTGGATTTAAGTTTTCAGATCAACTTGAAAAAATAAAGTCTTACCTATGGAAACCACTGCTGGACGGAATATTAATTGGAAGGTATTCTTTTAAAGGAGCAAAATAACCTCCATACTCGGGCATTGGTAATGGGTGAGGTTGAGGAAAGTCTTCGTAATTGGGTGATAATCTGTCATAATTCATCTGAAATATAATTAATTTACACTTACTTATTACATCGAAAATATACCAATACAGTGCATTTCTAAATTACGACCAACAAATAATAACTTTAACTTTAAAAACTGCCATTATCATATCCTATATATATATATAAAGTATACGTTTTATGTGAAAGAAAGAATGCTTTTATGAAAATATATTCTATTCAATCGTTAAATGTGGGAGTATTCAATTAATTGTTTATAATAAATACCTCTGCGTCTTCTACAGGACTCGGTATTTCGTTGTTCAACGCCAACTGAGCGCCAACTGTTCGTTGCCATTTAGAACTCGAACGGTTTGAAGGAAACCTCAAAATGGATTTAACTGTAGAATCTGACTTACATGATCTAAAGAATAATAACAAACAATTTTATAATATAAGTACATATTTCGTTTTATAACTTATAAATATAGTGAAAACAATAAAATTTAAATTTAAAGTCGAGCAAGTAATATTGTATTGAAATAAAATATTTGATTTAAACTTTTACATTTAAGATATTAAATATAGTAACTAATTTGTTTTTCGCTTAAGCTTACTCTCTAATATATTTTTATATTTTTAGATAAACTGTAGTTATACCAAATGTAGATATTGCAACCAGAAAGTTCTTTTATTATTATATAAAGTATTTTTTGCAGTTCATACAACGTTCAACAAAACACATCCATACAAAAAACTTATTTTAGTCTAATTATTCATGTAGTCTTAAAAATAATTTGTTACTACGGTACTACGTAACAAAATATTGGAGTATAATTTTAAAATTAATATTAAAATTTACAAAGTATACTACATAAAACAATATTAGTACTAAACATGTCTTGAAAAACAATTGAAAACATATGAATATAATAAACTGTATATGTTATTCAATGATTGACATTATACTTTTTTAATTATTATTATTTTTTCTCTAAGAACGTATTCGTATATTTGCATTTGATAAATTATACGAACATAAAACTTATTCTAAAGTTCTTTTTTATTATTGTACGTAAACTTGCTCATTTTATCAGTATTACTTCTGTCATTGTATTTTATACTTGATTTTGCACTAATTAATTTCTTTTATTTAAATGTGACTTGTTTTTAATACACAATGCATTTTTATTGTTTCATACAATTATACTAAATTTAAATTCAAAACAATACATCAATACCTTAAATTATTTAAACTAACTCAATATTTGAGACGTTTTATAGTAAATATGAGTTACTGTTATTGGTCATCGAGACTATTTCATAAGTTAACTGTTTAATTAATCTAGGTATTTTATTAAACTACGTAAAATTATTGGTTAAAATTTTTCAGTGAACGAATTTGTTAATAAAAGTAAATTAGTTTAATTTAATCTTTATAATTCAAAAACAAAAATAAAACAAAACAAAAAAAAAAAAAAATAAAAAAAAAATAAAAATAAAATAAAATAAAAAACGGAGTCAAGTGATGGTAAATTAATTTTTTTGGACAGTAGGAAGTCAATAGTAATTTGCGCTCATTAGGAATAGCAGAGCTGAGATTTTCGTAAGAACAGAACATAGGAGAAAAGTAACGAAAATAAACAGAAGTAATGAGGTAATGACTATTTTGGAAATCTACTATGAGATAATCACTACTATTAATTCTCAAATCGTAAAAAAAATAAAAAAATATATAGATTCTTAAATAGATATTTATACAGTAGACATTTAATAAAAAGTAAAACGAACTAACATTGTATGTATAAATTATTAGTTCAGTAAATTATGCAAACAATCGGGTGAAGCAAATCGAAGGATTGATTTTTCAATAAATTGCTCAATCGATGTGACATTATGTATCAAAAATATATTTAAGGACAGAAAAAAGAGAATGGAAAACCTAATTTTTTCCTATAATGGAAAAGAGAAGAAAAGAAAAGATAACTGTTCATAGAGTGTGATTGGCAAAAATTAATGAGTTTATCAGCAAAATCGCAGTACACTTGAATTAATATCATTAGACAAGACCTTTTATAGGAATTTAGATTAGATGCTTTCCGGTCAGCGGTCAGGCAAGTTGAAAGATTTAAATCTTATCGAATAAGTGTATACAATCGTATATAACTATAAAATGGAATGTCGATGATGAAAGTTTAAAATTCCAGTTATTTACACTGGATATAAACGTATAGTCAACTGCAGTGCTTTAAGCGGGGGGGGGGGATACGGAGGGACGGCATCCCTCTACTTTTTTGTATTTACAGTTTTCATCTCTCTACTTGTTTTGTCTAGAATAACGCATTCCTCCTAAGATTTGTATTTTAAAATTATATACTTATTATCATTTTAATATTTACACATAAGAAATAATTTTTTTTCGGTGAAAATAATTTTTTTTAACATTCAGGCCCGGGCGCCCGGCTCATCGTGTTGTTTAGTATAAGCCGTTTCGCAACCCGTATTATACCCGTATTTAGAGCCACGGACTAAGATAATATACCTTATGTGAACTATAAAAATAAATAAATATATTATAGGTATACAAGGCGAGAAGAATGTTATGATGATATCAGGAAATTTGAATTGTAAGGCATCCTTCTACTTATCTTGAGTCTTTTCGACCATTGGTTAACTGTGGTTGGATATGAAAAGTAACGAATAACTAAGTCGTATTCAAGTATAGCACATGAACCGTGGAACAATAAAAATACGATTCTCTGGAGACCAATCGCTGATTAATGCATTACACATGATGTAACATAATGTTGAATATTTTTATATAAATTTATTCAAATCAGAGCCTAAAATATATTGTTGAGCAGTAGTTAGTTTTATTCAACAATGAAAAATACTTATTCTATTTTAAATATTTACTAAAAAAAATGTGGAAGTGTTTGAGACAAGCGATATCTTCAAATGCTAAAAGGTCGGTAAAACACCGGGTCCAAATATTCGTTTATTGTTATAATAGTTGTATTTTTTGTATATATTTAAAAGTAATAATAAATCATTAAATTAAAAAAACCAATTCTGTACTAGGGGGGTTAGTGTCATTCATATCTTCAAAATTTGTTAGATAATCATATTTATAATTTAATATATCAAAAATCCAAATATTTTCAGATACTTAAAATATAATTAAGAATTTTAAAAATATAAAATTAGTTACTTATTTTTTTTAAACATTTTTAAATAAAAATCGTAAAATCAATTTTATAATTGATTTTTTTTTTTTTAGTGTTTACTACCGGGTTTAAAATACCAAATAAGCATGATCAGTTATATTAGTAATATTTTGAAACTTGTAGTGTAGATTTGCTACATAAAAATTTTTAAAAGATGACAAATTGTAGAATCTTCTGTACTATAGACATTCCTAGGAGTATGTTTTTATTTTTAAAAAATCAAAAGGCGCTTAAAATGATGTATTATTATTTACATGCTTTTTATACCTACTTTCAAGTATTGAATTTTAATATCAGGATTTGAAAATCAGAATTTACAATTCATACTATTTATTATTGAACATTAAGTTAAATAGAGTATATTAAAATTAGACCAAAATATAAATCTAATTAATAAAACGTGTATGTTAGTTAAAATCATTTAGATTTTTCCACTAAAACGTCAAACCTGATGACAGGCTCTCAAATTTAGTGTTGGACGTAAATATGGGAAAGTGAGCAAGTCTAAGGATGCCTAATTAATTAAAAATAATTCAAGATAAAAACACGATATCTTATGATATAAAATGTATAGATCTCTATGAATTATTGTAAAGAAAATCAGGCAATAACAAGGCTTAACTAACTTATTTTTTTAATAATTTTTGATTCAAATTGAAAAACCTTTGTTTATAATAAAATCACACCAGAGGTACCTCAAGTAAACTACTACTCTAAAAACTATTATATGCAGTAAATATAATTTACTTAATTTTTAAACAAATAACTTACTCACGTACAATTTAAATTTAATTTTAAAAAATTATTTATTTATTATATCTTTAATAGCAACACTATAATGAAAAATGCAAATCAGATACAATTAATATTAAACAAGAACGACAAGTTAAAGATATTATATAATATCAATGAAACACTTTTGAATAAGAGTAGTCTGGGAGAAAAGCGTTATAGCTTCAATTAGCATGAACAGTAATTTATTTAAAGCGAAAGTTTAGCTCAAACAAAAAAATCATAACGAAAATGAACAAAAATAAAAAAATAGAAAACGATAAAAGAAGATAAGCGATAGCCATTAGAATTAATAATATTTTTAAGGTAGAATCGACGGTCAGTAAATTTTTCAAATATATTGTGAGCACTGTGTCGAAATGTAAGATCATTATATAATAAATTAATTAAATAAAAAAATGTAAATTTTGACAGTAGGGAATGGTTATTTGTCGAGAATAATGAATATAATTATTATATGTGTGTAGATTTAGCACAGTAAATAAAATCAATTTTGTTCAAAAGTAACATTATGAAAAATCTATTAGGAAACAAATACAAGAATTACAATAATTTATTTTATTTTCAGTATCTTAAAGGGTAAGTATTATAAATATTTTAAAATTTAAGTTATATATGTTTAAATTATTTACTTATTTCAATTTGAAATTAATATTTAAAAGGTATCGTTGTTGGAAAAATTAATTTATTTTATTTCTAACAAAACCGTTTTTTAGATGTTATTAGTAATCATCAACAAACCCTTTCATTCCTCTTCTACCTGAACGGGTAGGCAAAATTGTAAGCATTATGTTATTGGTTACTAATGTATAATTACATATTTATTATTTTCAGATACATTCATTAGTCAATAAAAATAATACTTCTTATAATAACTAAGGTAAAACAAATCTGTAAAATAATCAGTGAAATTAACAAGTAGTCTGGATTTTAGACTGATTATTAAGTCAGTTTAATTCGATAAATAAACATTTAAATATTAAAAAAGTATATCTTAAAAAAAAAAAATTGTCTAAATAAAATAATAATAATATTAATAATAATAATAATAATAATTTTAATAATTACAGTTATAAAATAATAAGGGTTAAGTTAACTACGTCACTCCATCAATCCACCCAAGCGCTATGCGATTATAACAGGAACCCTTTGCACAACATGGGTCTATACAACAGGGTTTTCCTTTCGATCCACTTTCTGTGTTCACGGTTGCCACATTTCCCTATATTTAAATATAATAAATGGTGGTAAAAGAACACCAGCAGCAAAACCATAAATCATTATAAAGGTTGCTGATTTCGAATGGTTTTGGACATACTCAAGATATTTTGTTTTCCTAATAAAAATCATCTTGATTTTCTTTGAATTATTTTGCAAGTTAATCTCATCATAGTTGTAAATATTT